TGAAGTATAACTTTAAAAATGTAAGCTTTTTGGAATATACACACCTGTAAAGAATTGTTCTTCTAATTAATTTCCTTCTCAAAATATATCTGTTTTTCAATAGTGAGCAAAATAGTTCTACATTATAACTGCCTTCAGGGACACTTTACAAGAAACACGTTCACACACACACACACATACACATGCTATGTTTGTATGTGACCACAGGCATGAAAGAATATACTCTCTAAGTTTGCTGTGGATGGACAGTTGGGGGCAGGGAATGGGTATAAATCATAAGGATTTCAGAGAATATATAGCATTCATGTTAGTAAATTATGTCAGAAAAGGAATAAAACAGATACTACTCAAAACAGTCAAATTTTTTTCCAAAAACTAATGAAAGCTCACCATTTGTTCAGATCTGGCATTTGAGCATAATTATACTCATGCCTTGCTAGTCAGAACACAACATCTACCTGTTTTAATAAGGCCAACACAGGACATCTGCTTGACCTTACATTTACTGGTCTTGTCTTAGATATATTTTTATTATGATAAAATAGCACCATGTCAAAATGCCTAAGTATCAGAGTTATAAATATAAAATAAATACTTATATCTAGACTGAAACTTGGCATATATAAGATATCATCTCATGATTTATATGAGTTTTTAAAAAAGTGTTGGCTGATAGCCAGTCATAGGAATGCATAAGGTATTTATCACAGAGCATATAAGAAAGAGAAAAGGCAAGCAAGAAAGAAAAATAAAGGGAGTGAGATATAATAAGAATAATTCAGAGAAGTAACTAAACTAAGTTTTATTTTCTTAAAGTCAGCAGTTTTCTTCCTCATGTCTTGTTTCTTAATACTTAACACACTGTATTACTGTTTGTTTGAATAATTCACTCCCTGCTCCCCATCCTATAAGCTCCATGAGGACACTGAAGGTCATTTTGTTAGTCTTAAAACTGTGTCTGCCCAAACATTTGATGATTTGTTTAATGCATCCATACATAGATTAATAATTCATTAACAATGTACGAATTTTCTTAAAATTTCTGTTCTTGTGGATTTAATGGAATGAATATGAAAAACATAGACATTAATAAAGCTATTAATATTCCTAAAATAGAAACTGTTAGGCATGAATCGGTGCTATTTTATTAATATTATAACAGATAAATAGGGAATAATATTGTCAAGGAGATAGATGGGGCATGGCAGAGATCTATGTCAAATTACCTTACAACAAAAATGCCCGGAGAGATTTTGAAAAATTTCTGTATATCCTTCAAACAGTGAAGTGACTAGAGATTTGCCCTTTTATTTTTTAGGGAGAGTTAGGATACTTCTGAAAAATCATCAATATGTCTAAACAACTGTTATGTATTCTGTTTTAATCAATCACAGTTTTATTTTACCAGAAAAAAAAAAAAATCCTGGGGTAATATTTAAACTTGAAATGGGCTCAGGAGAAAACTGCCAATACCTTATTACTTTTTGTTTGCTATTTTGTATTTGAGGGAAGTTCTGCCTTAGAAACTTTTTTCTCCAATGAGAAAAAGAAGGTGTACTGCCAAAAGCAGCAGTCTTCTCTTGATGCTTGTATAAAGAAACTTGATTTTTTTAAAAGGTTCTTCATGGTATTGGGGAAAAATGACATAAATGAATGTGCAGTGACACCATTGCACAAAAATAATTAATACCATACATGAGCAACAGAAATTCTTTAATGCATTTCTGATTTTTAAAATCTCAGAAAAGAACGTATGTTGTAAGCCCTGATTTTGTTATAATTATACTCCTCAAAACACTTTCATGAAAAATAGAATATTCAAACTCATGAGCAGAAATAAATCATTTTGATTGGGTTTCCTCTCCAGCCTAGCACTCTCCTTTCTGACTTCCCCATTATTTACTGTTTTTTGTTTGTTTGTTTGTTTCCAGGGATGTTTCTGCTAAGCCTTTGAGCACTTACACCATAACTATACGAGGCAAATAATCTTAGAACATACAATATCCTACAAATATCCCAAATATGACATTAAAGTATAAGGCAACAGGTAAATTATTTTGTATGAAAACAATTACACTGTTTAGTTATACTGAACATGAATATTTTATAAACACACTAAAATAATACAAGATACGAAAAATTCTTTCAAAGTAAGTTAATCACTGCATCACCTGTGCCCCTAAAACTACAGCTTTGCTTCTAATTCTTTTGAAGATTATTAGCAATTCAAACATTACTACAAATTTTATACCAGGAAGCCCATCATATTTAATCTGACACAGGTTCCCACTCCATTTGTTTCTCTAAATTCCTCAAAAAAGAACCATAAAAAGGAAATAAAAGTAAAAGACATATTTAAGTCATTTGTACTTCTACATCTTCATGTGTATCTTTATTTCCTGCTATAAGTATCGCAAGAGTAAGGACCATCACTTGTTTGAATGGATTACATAAAGGTTCTAACACGGAAATGGGGAAAAATGACAAAGTTTCTGTGATGATTTCTTACTAATGGGCATTCTAAATGATTAAATCAAATATGTAACAATATATTATACAGAAACATGTTAGCTTTGGGCATCCAAGTTATAAATCTGACCCAATGTGAAATAAATATCCTTGTCACCTCATGGATGCAGGTGAACACTAGCCATTCACTTCTTGAGGGTTCTATTGTGAATACTTCAGAATAGGACATGGGTTTGGTATTTTCTTTAATAAGCTTCCTCTCTGTCCCCTTAGACAACAGAGAGCAGGTAAAATATTTTCAAAATCTGGAGAATACCCAATGTGCATATGCCAACTTGATTAAACATATGGAATACATACTTGGAGAAAAGCCAACTGGCGACCTGCTTGAGTCATCTAAACACCCAAGCTGAGAGAGGTTAACATATAAAGATCAGCTTTGGACTTTGAAGTTTTCTGGTCTTCATTTTACCTAATTAAGACAAGATTTAATAATCAAACCACTGTACAAACATGTACCTAAACGTATAGGTTTGTTTCTAATTTTGGGAAGAATTCTTAACAGATTCTAAGGAATCAGCTCCACATGGGAAAAGGTCTCTGATAAGACTTGCTTTTCTCATTGCTAAGATGCAAATGCCTGCTTTTCATCTGAGTTTTATCCAGTGTGACTGAGGTTAGCATCTGCCTGTCAAAATCTCAGGTTTGATATTGAAAAGGAAAGACTCTGATATTAGCATACCATCTGAATCTGAAACAGTGGCAATTGGTTAATAAAAAAAAATGTATTCCAAAATATTCTTAAAGGTATTCATAGAAACCATCTGTAGATCACAATATCAAAGGGAACAATTTACCTACTTTACCCATAGTAGAATATATACATTCATGTGTTTCTAAAAAATAGAATCAAGTGTAGCAGCAAAGTATATCTACTATCTAATACTAGTTTTATAAACCTAATTCTAGATCAAAATAATATAAGGCAAAAAGTAAGATCTCTAATCTTCCCTCCCACCTACATTTCTTGCACTAAATACTGGACAATTTTTCAAGTATACTTAATAATTTTAAGTTGTGCTGAAAGACCACAAAAAAACAAACATGATTCTATCATAATATGGAAAACATATGCAGAGTCACATACAAGTCAATAAGTATTTTGCCATTAGAGAAGGAAGTTCGCTCTATCCTGATGACCCTGATTTTATATAAAATAATTTGATAATGAAATAATTTAATAAATTTAGCGAAGTGCTACAGCAATAAAATAGGCATAATCTAATGACACAGAAAGAGTCTGCAATGTATAGTACAAGGTTAGAGAGAGAGTTGCTGCTGCCAGCCACCACCCTATCTCCAGCACCCCCATTCCACACATACTTTTGCTACTTTGAAAGTAGCAAAGGACTAGGCTGGAAGAACTTCTGTTCAGAAGCATGGTGTTCAACCCATGCTTCATTCATGTCTCTGCCCTTGTTATGATGGAGGCTAAAAGAAGAGAAAAAATCCAGCAACACTTGTAATTAAAACCAGCACATGGTAAATACCCTTTTCCCCTACTGCCATTAGAAAGATATTAGGCATCTGCCCATGAGAGTTTACTTCGTTTTGTTTGTTTCCTAATCATAGTACAACAAAGTGATTACTAAGCCAGGTTTTAGCTATGCATTTATCAGTAAACAAAGTATGAATTTGCAATATAATGCCTCTCATGCCTCTGGAACATACTTGTAGATGATATAGCACAAAGGCAAGGGAATAGAATCTTAATACTCAGGACCTTAATATTTTCCAGCCATTTTCCAGAAATGAGAAGATGGTGCTTTTTTAAGCCTACCACAGCAAATAATACTGGAGAAACTGTCCAGACCAGGTTCTTTAATATCACTTTGCTTACGAATTCATAGAAAATGCTTTACTGGCCTGTCTGATATTGCACTGCAATCACTGTTGCTTTATAGTTGCCTCAGCAGGAGAGCTCCTAAGGATGCAGTCAGTATCTGTCCATTTTAGCTTCCAGGAAGAAATGATCACAAGTTTCTGAGAAACTACTCCAAAGGCTTATTGGAATGAAGTGGGACATATGCAAAAACAAATGTAACATAGAAGTATACAAGTTGCTGAGAAGTGCCTTACTGGCTAACCTTGGCCTATCTGCCATCACCTGTAAAAACTTTTTGACATGTCAACACACCACATTCAAGTCTGCCGCAAACATTTTCTGCAACAATAAAAAATGAGGCTCCACATATATATATATATGGGCTTGTATACCATAAGAGATACCTGATCTTAAAGATCTTACTAATCTATCATATCAATTTTGCTACACATGTCTCATGAACATAATGGTAGTTAAAACACTGACATTGTGATGGTGTCCCTGAACCCAGAAAGCAGGCTTAGGATGATCACATCCTTTTTGCTGTGATTCCCATCAGCATTCCTCTTATATACCCATATCACTAAAGCGATCCCCAATATCCAAACTGGTGGCTAGTACATTTTGACTTGGCTTGGAGGCTTACTTTGTTCATGTGGATCTGCTGCTGGTATTGCTTCTGCTTCTCCAAGAATTGCTGGTGTTGCTGTTGAATGACAAGCTGAGCCAACGTACTCTGAGGCAAAGGTGCAGACTGGGTTCGGTTCAGAGGTCTGTGACGGGGCAATTTGTGTGTACCTCTAATGCCAGGTGAAATTCTCTCTTTAGTTGCCAAGGGAGACTGAGGATGTAAGGGAACTCCACCTGAAAAAAACCATATATATATGCATATGTGTGTGTATACACACACAGCACACACACAATTCTAAGAAAAGATAAGAAGCCAAAGAAAATAGATACATAGTATAAACCATAAGAAAATTAGTGAAGTAGTGATGCTACCAGGCAAACATTAGAAGAATAGGACAAGAGTGGGAAGACAGAAATGTCAAGGCACTGGACAGGTGCACATCTGACTGTATGACTCACCATAATCTAGTCTGCTATGAATAATGGTGAAATAAGGTGCGTCCTCCTACCCCAACTAGATCTAAAGGAATAAATAAAGATGACAGCCTTTCCCACAGTACCAGGTATCATGGAGGCTTTTGTGTAAGACTGTGGATTCCTATCAGGGTCTTAAGTAAAAGAGACAATATTCTGGACCACTAACAAAATAAAACCCTAAAATGACCTGCAAACGGTGCCATAATGAATTACCAGCCACAAGAAGCTTTTGCTGTCGCATTTGTTCTTTCAATAATAAATGCTGCAGGAGAGCCTGGTGGCTGCTGTTGGGTGGCTTTCCCTCTAAAGTGACGTGAGGGTGGCTGGAAGATGCCGGGATGCTGCCCCCATACTGCCCAGGCAGAGCAACACCTTGCCTAAGCGTCTGCGTGTCACACTTCTGCTTTTCTTTGAGTGAATTCGAAGCCTGTGTTGAGAAATAACAAAGATGTTAAATACTCTTTCATCCATGTGGGTCACTGGGTCTCTATATCTTAGACAAGTTTCCTATGCTGTAGCTTCCCAGAACAAAAACCCCATCTTACCCAATGACTGAGCAGGGAAAATGGACCTTTTAAACTAACTCAATTCAAAAAAGAAGGAATAAAAATAGGGTTGGAGCACCGAAGACAATTTAATATTGTCATTGTATTGAATATAAAAAGTTTCTTTTAATTAAAATCAAAAGTGATGCTACACACAAAATTTTAGATGAAAAGAATAAATTCAACAGATATATTGTACATGATGATGACTACAAATAACAATATATTGTACATGTGAAAATTTCTCAGAGAATAGATTGAGTGTTCTCACCATAAAAAGTAAGTATGTAAGACAATGCATATGTTAATCAGCTTAAGTCACTCCACAATATGTATATATATCAAATCATCATGTTGTAAACCACAAATATATGTACATTTTATATGTCAACTTAAAAAACTGCTTATTAAGTGGAAGGTACATTTCTAAAGTCTTTTAATATACACTGTTTACGTTAAAGGCATCCCGGAGAGGTAAAATTTACTCAAAGACTGTATCATGGGGATTAAGGAGCTGGAGATAAGATGTAATGTAATTTTGGAGTTGCAAGGGAAAGAAACAAATCACCCTTTCTCTACATGTCTTCTAATAATTTCACAGAGCTATTAAGTATCCAATGTTTAATTTTTTAAATTAAATTCTTAAAATAACTCAATGAAAGGAGGTAAAGATATGCAGAAATTTGATTTAAACATTTTATATTAATTCATAACAGATTGCCAAATCTCTAAATATTGAAAATGACACTGCAGATATTTTGTATAATAAACTACAAGTGAAATAAGATATCAAATAAAAATGCTATTAAGTACTTGAAATGTATAATAACACAGTAATAAGGCAATAACAATTATACCGTCAATAGCAATAATGAATTATCCTATTCAAAGAATTTAATGAATGGTGGTCATTTTGCTATTATAAAAGCAGGACTCTAATACCTCAAAATTATGTGGCATGTTTCTTTTCAAAACTCATGTTTCATCTTTCAAAATTGCTGTACACCAGGGGAGGCAAAGTAATTTTCAGCGATGGAGAAATTGAAGGACAAAGAGGTAAGTGGTTTGTCTGAGTCACAGAGCAAGTCAATGCAATGTTTAATCTAGAGGTGATTCCTTGTCCTGGCCACTTTTCCTTAAAATTTCCCAGTATTCAGTGGAGAAATGGAATACTAGAGATCCCTTTGGCAACGCAATGCTAAACTTGAAAAATTAATTATGATGTCCTCATCCACACCAAAATGGAAGCAAGGAAAAATGAAACTTTAATCCAAACCACATTGGTTTATCCATCCAGTGGTACCAAATCGTATTACCTTTGAAATATTAAATGGTCTGGCTTTAGTACTTGGTCCTTTGGGAAAAAAATTTTCCCTGACCACATTAAAAGTGGTACATGTGTGAGTTATTGAGAGGAGTGGCTTAGAACATATAAAAATAAGTAAAAATAAAATGCCTATTGATGTGTCATAAGAAGTTTTTGAGTTGGTATTTACTTATCATTAGAAGAGTTAGGAAATAGAAATGGAAAGAAAATAATTTTTAATTAGTGATAACTGTGAAATATTATCCATGAATGTTTATTTTTAGTTTCATTCCTAATTCCCTTTTGTTTTTCATTTCATTTACAAATGTTTCATGTAGAATTTTAAGAGCATAGTTGAATTCAGTATTTTCAATGCTTTCTTGTATAATCCCCAGATATAAGACAACATCCAAATTTTGTTTTATCCTTACTGGTATAAGAACACAGTACCACAGAAAATGACATTATTGTCTATTGAATATCAGATATTATAAGATAGCTCTTAGGTTGATTTTAAAATATGTATTGAAATTATGTATTGAACATACATGTGAATTTGACACATTTGACTCAGTGGAAGACTTGAAGGTAAAGACTGGCAAAATTAGTGATAAGGGTTAGCATAAATTTCTCTTTAAACCTCATGTATCATATGACCCCTGTGTACATACAATTTAATTAACTAACATTTTAGAGATGAATTATTCTGGATAAGGCCCACTTATTTTTTACAACTAAAACTGATACTGTTTAGTGAATATGAATAATGTAATTATTGCTGTCTTCTGCTAGTATGACAATAAAATTTCAAGTTTAGCACTGCTTTGGCAAAGATATCTCTAGTATTCCATTTTCTCTGCTGAATACTAGGAAATTCTAAGGCAAAGTGGCCAGGACAAGGAATCACTGCTAGGCCTCCATTTAACAGTATGATACAGTGACTGCTTTCTTCCCAAAAGAGCCTATTTCAGTTGTCAGTACTTTTAACCTAATAGATTCACTTTGAATCTAATGGGAATGGTTTAATACTTTTCTTAGAGAGTTTTTCCAGATACATATTCTTCAGCACCACAGAGTCAGTAACTTAGATTCCCAAAATAAAGTCATTCACAAAATAAATTATCTAAACATATGCTGCTGTGCTTTCGAAGCTGTACCTCTCAGCACTACCCTGGCTTGTGTTCCAGGTCTGCCACTAACTGGCTCTGTGATCTTGTGCTTTGAAACTCTCCAAGTCTCAGCTTTTCCTTCTGTAAAAACGTGGGCTGTAGTCTCTGTTTCACAGGATGTCTGTGTGGAGTTATTAAAATAATATATCTAGAGAGTGCTTTTCTTTAAAGCTACAAACCATACAAATGTTATTATTTTTTATAAATGATTATGTGAACAAGGATAATTCTGGTTTGAAATTAAATGGAATGTCTTTGAATAACAGAGCAAATAGCAAACAATGAAGGAGATGCTGGCTCTACCAGGTTTTTTTAAAGTATAAATATATGGAAAAATGAAAGAGGGTTCCCTACGAAAAGATATTGCTTGGGTCTATTTAGGCTGATGCTGTGCAATGACTTACATTGAGCTGGGATGGCACTGCAGGAAGCCCCAAGGTAATGTTGGGCAAAGAAGGAGAGGTATAAAGACTTAGCAGGTTCATGGAATCTTCATGAATTAAAATGCGTTGCTGTGAAACCATTTGCTGTTTAAAAAAAAAAAAAAAAGAATTTTAAAATATCACAGTATGACAAATTTTACTGTAAAATGTTCACATTTCAGAAAATGGGTCTTATCATAAGTAATGATTTTAAGTATTTATTTTATGACTTCTGTATCCAAAAGTTATAATGTAAAATTTAAATATTTCCTCCTCAAACAGTTATAAATCTGAATAAAGGGCATCTATGTACATTTTTTGCAAATTCATTTATAAAATTCCGGCTATATGAAATACAGTCAGCATATTTGTCATTTGTTGATAAAGTACAATGATAAAATTGGATAATTCTGATTAATGTGTCTACTTCTTTTGTATTACTGAGTGGAAAAAAAATGTATATAATGCCACCATAGTCATTATCTTCATCTGTTTCTTCATTTAATGTCATTTTATTGATGGGGAAACTGACAAAAGAAAAATCTTAAATATCACCATATAGGGCTTCCATAGTAATGACATTTTTTTTACTATAAACATTTATGAACAGACAATTGTGTGTGGCATATTTTTAGATCATTCATATTCAGAAACTAATGTTAAATGTTAAAATGTTATGAGTCTTATGCCACAATAGCCTTCATTTACACTTAAATATTCTGAACATTTTGGCATCGCTATGCTTTTTACAACAAATGCCTTCTTTTAATCCATTACTAAGAGTCATGTTTTCCCACATGTGGCCTAATATGGTTGGTTGAATTACATTTTCTGTTTAACTCTTGCTTCCCTCCCAGAACTTTTATACAATAAGAGTTACAAAGGTCTTATTAGACTAAGGAACTCTGGCCTGATATGGTCCCCAAGGGAACAACATCCCTGAAAAAGAATACTCCATGTAACAGTATGACACAGTGACTGCTTTCTTCCCAAACAAAAAGCATATGGGACTCCAATAATAGACCACCTCCAAGAGGGATATTGCACACACGGGCTTTGACTAAAGTAAATATAATAACTTGTCAAGCATGTTTGGGGGAGCTGTAGATTTTCCCCTGGACAAACCTGGGATATCAATTAACTGGGGAAAATATCATGTGCTAATACAATGCAACCTCAGAATGTCACTGAAGAGTGATGCATCACCAAAACACAGGATGTTATTCTAAAACATCATTTCAATCATACCTTTGTTTGGAGATGAGTCCTAGTCTTAACATAATAAGAGCAGAGGGTTAAATGTGGAGTTTTCTCATAGCAACTTAGAACTCAAAGCTAGTTCAGATTTTGTTACTTTTTAAAGGAGCATGTCATATATCTGTGCATGAAAATCAAGAGGTACGTTGTAAGCAGTAACATTACATTGACTTTATATGCAGCCCTTTAAAAAATTAGTTGTCTAAGTGACATAGCATGAAGATTGTTGGGAAAGATTTTAAAATTACAATGTGTGGGGTTGCAGTTTTATTTTGTGAGCTATCAAAGTTGCATACTTACTATAAACAAAAAGGCAAGCTACTGTTTTGCTCATAAAAATAATAGCTTTTCACAAAAATTTTAAGTATAGAAATCATACCTGAACAAGAACAAAAAGAACATAAAAGGAAATAAAAATATTTTAACTAGTTTACTGGCAGTAAATCGTAATTTGAAATAAAAGGATATTTTATTCACTTATCTGTATTCATTGAAAAGAAAATAACTGTGGAAAAATAAGCACTTTAAATAGTGTATAATATTCATTCAAGGTTGTATCTGCTCAAAGCACTGAGATATGGACTAGGGGATTTGACGTCGACTGGGGGAATGGCACAAAAAATACCATGGACCTCACAAAAGAGTTTTCTGTTTCCCAGAGATAATTTCTGTGAAATCTTCCTACCTCATCACAGGAAGCAGACTTAAACTTAAATGAGAAATAGATATCTTCTCAGATGTATGGGAAGCAGCAGCACACTGGCTGTTCACACTGGCTTTGACTAAAGCAAAGAGATTTGGGGACAGTCTTACTCTGGGATTGCAGATCCCTGCAGTTTCCTGTAAAAGTTGAGTGGCTCCATTTCCTCCGGCAGTGTACTGATATTCAGCACCTACCATGTGCCAAGCCCTGGGCCAGGAATTGTTGGAGGTTAACCTGTTGTTCACAGGTACTCTCAAGCTACCATTATGCTCATGCTGTTGATGATGAAACTGAGTCATTTCCCCAATTCTGTTTCTGTGTGGGACCAGCAACAAAACCTTTAAACTGACCAAGGCTATGAGATTTGTTGACAGTTGCTGCTACAGGGAGTACGACTCTGCAGCCACTGTGGGAGGACAGGGGAACCACAGAGAAGTAGAGAGAATTGCTGTGTTTGGAGAAGCAGCAGCAAACACAGGCTCTGAGGCTCAAGAGAGAAATAAAGGAGTGCAACTGGTAGTCAGGGGACTTGGGCATGAGAAAAAAGCCCCGGTGACTTTATAAATCTTCAAGACATTACGTAGATGAAGAGTAACTCTATCATTGCCCAAATAAACTTTATGGAGACAATTCTTAATGAAGCAAGGAAGGTTCTGTGTCCTCCACATCTGCTAGCCATAGTTGGTTCTTCCCAAAGACTCTAATCAGTATATCATCTCATAGAAATTTTAGGGACCCAGACCTTGCTTAGTTTATCTCCTTAGATTACAAATAAGGAAAGAGGCACAGCATCTTTGTAGACTATCAAAGTCTAGAATGACTTCAGAGAATTGAAAAACTATTTCCCTCAAATTATTTTCTCTAAATATAGCTTTCCTCAACTATGCTTTTTGATAGGAGCCATCTATCTGTTCCACATTTATCTCTTAATAAGACCTGGAGCCATAGTCTACACTGCTGAGTAGAGACACACTTGAAAGTCAGAATAACAGATTTTGAGGGGTACCATTCCCCTGAGACAATGAAAGATCCTGACTTCTCGCAAGGCTGGAAGACCATCCCACCTTAGCACTGCAGTGAGCTCACAAGTGTTTTCAGGCAAAGCCAGGATTCTTCCAAGAAGCAGTTTTGAATCTGGGTCAGTCCTTAAATCAGTGCTATGCTAAGATGCCAATACTTCACAGTTGAGTACATGAGAAAGATGGTTTTAATCTGAAAATTTTTCAGAACCAAAAAATTTTATTGTGGTTAGATAAAATGAAAATAGTAAATGTAAGAATGTGTATTGTTAAACCTTCACAAAACAATTAATGAGTAACTTCTCTGTGTTAGATTAATGGTGTTGAGTGCTAGGTATATAAAGATGTTCTATAACACACTAATTCACATGGTAGTTAGGTGCACAGGAAAGTAGAGAACTAACTCTTTGACTTGTGATAATTACTTTAATTAGAGTAGGGTTAAAATACTTCAATGGCTAAGAAAAGAGGGTCAATTTTAAACCAGGCTTTGATGAATAAATGGCATTTCACCAGAAGGAGCATTATGTTAGGACAACAGATATGAAATGGGCCAGGTACTGGGGTAGGAGTGGCCCACTCACATTTTACTAAGGCTCTGCTACATCTTATTTAATTTCTCTCCTGTTATATCAATGGGAAGGAGATCTCATAGATAATATTTGTAATTCAAATGAATACCAAACAGTAGACTCAAACATTATGTCTCTCAATAGAGCTATTTATGTGGAATTGAAATTAAGCATTAATGTCAATTAAAAGAATCTGTTCCAAAAGAGACACTGGCTAAAATTAGAAAAAATGGACAAAGTCAAATGTTACAGGGATTTAGAAAGCTAAAGCCTCACACATATTGCTTGTTGGACAGTAGATTAGTACAGCAATGCTGTTGAACTTTAAAGCAAAATAATTTTACTGTTTACCATGACCAGTGATTGCTTTGCTGGGAATTCTAACTTCAAGAAATTCTTTCATTAAGCTGTAGGATGATGGGCCATGGTATATACTGAAGAACACCAGGACATCTACCTCAGGAATCAGTATGCAGCAACACCCACCATGGATTTTTATGGTGATTAAAAGCATACCATTAGATTTCTGTATCCATAAAGACATGGTGTCTGGATCTAAAAACACATGCTTAGTGATAAATGCAAGAAAATGGAATGACACAGATAACATTGGGCCATTTATATCCCATTAAAGCTCATGAATGCAAAGCAAAAAATACATATAACAAAAATGCATATAATCAAAAACAGGAGAGAATGACTGCCTATGGGGGCAAGGAAAATGAAAGAGGGGAAAGGATATAGAAAGGGAGGAAGGAGAGAAGGGAGGGACAGAGAGGGGAGGAAGGACTAAAAGAAGATATTTTTCTTACTCTTAAGAAGACAAAAAAAGTCAACGATAGCCTTTGACAGATTCTAGTTATACTAGTCATATAAATAATTACCTATTTTCCTTTTTAAAAAAAATAGACAAGATCTTGCTCTGTCACCCAGGTTGGATTGTAGTGGTGCGATCAAGACCCACTATAACCAACTCTTGGGCTCAAGCTTCCAACTAATGTTCCCCCACCCCGGAGAGAGTCTTTCTATGTTGCCCAGGCTGCTCTTAAACTCCAGGCCTCAAGTTATTCTCCCACCTCAGCTTCCCAAAGTACTGGGATTATAGATGCAAGCCCCCATGCGCAGCCAATAATCACTCACATTTTAAGACTCCCCCAGAATATAAGGATATAGAATTTTCAGTTTACTGTATGTTCCAAATTATCTACGGTATGCATGAGAATCAGAAAAAGAAAAAAATATATATGTATATATACACACACACACAATTTTCATGAGGAGCAGCCTGGACTTGTGAAATAAAGTCTGGACTAAGTGTCTTATACTTGAGCTCTCCCACTCTCGGGCTTGTAACTCTGGCCAGCATCCACCTTCCCAGGACTTCAGAACCTTCAGCCTGAGACTGAAATACCTCTGCCCATCTCTATCAGGTAACGTGTGTCTACTAGAATGGAATACAGGAAGACATGCTTAGAAGTGTCAAGTCAGCTTTGGCTTTACAGGGTCCCAAGTCCCTGAATCCAGGCTATCTGAAAAGAATATAGCCACATTTTAAAAAAGAAAAATCTTAATAATATAATATTTTACTACAGTTTTCAGGATTTTTCAAGATTATATATTCTAGTCTTCCTTCAACTAGCTCATAGAAAAAATCTCCATGTAATTAAAAAAATTCTTGAGGCAGCAGAAATCTCTCCAGTTTTCATTTTACTGGACACCCAAGAAGGTGTTACTATAAAATAGTAAGACATATTGTGAGACCAAAAAAACAAAAAAGGAAAAGAAAAAATAATTTGACAGAGTTTAACATTTGAAAGGCACTGATGTTTTGTTAAAGATCTTGCTTTAAAATATTGACTTATACGTTATTCCTAGTAAATTATTATTTTGTCATGGCAACCTCCTTTTCCTGAGATAGGGGGTAGGGAACATGTTTTAGTTGCTGCTATCTAAAACCACAGCTCTACACCCACTCAGAAGGGAGCATAACATTTACAGCAAATGTCACAACAACTATTATGAAACAACAGGCAGATGAGTCATGTGAGATTGGGGCAAAACAAGTGACATTACAGATGATTTTAGAGTATTAGAATCATTTTTTTAAAAGCATTTGTATCTGCTGGAAAAATTATTTAAAAAATAGCATAGTGGAGACAGCCACTAATGTTCAACTAGAAATAAACCAGCAGCTTGGCTACCGTTAAAATAGCTATCAAATAAATCTACTGAATCTAAAGTAATAGTGTTGATATCCATGGAAACATATTTGAACCCACAGGCCCACAGTATTAACAATAAAGTAACTAGATAGGTAAAGACATCTTTGACTGGAGTTGGAAATAGAAACTCCTGAGGTTTCAGCTCCCCAACCAAGTTTACAAATGAGTAAAGCAAGTAGCTCCAACAATCTGAATTCTGGGACTGAGCATATGTAGGAAATAGAAGAAATGGAACAGAAGTGGTCAAAGCAGATGGAGACTCACTCTCACATGAGAGCTGCTGGCTTGAAGACAAACATGCTAATGAGTTTTCCCTACCAGGAATCAGTGTTGATAATAATAACAAAAAATGAACTTTTTTCTGAGCATCACAATTTACCACCTGCCTTCCAAACACTGATTTCTTAAAACAAAGCTGCTGGTGTAGGTATTATGATACTATCTTCTGCTAGATCAGGAATCTGAGGGTCAGGAGAAGTCTGGCAACTTGACCAATGATGACAAAGTACCCGGTTTTGGAGCCAGGTTCATGCCTAGTCTTCTGAATGGAACACCCATACATTCCACCACAATGTGCTATTTCCTGAACCTCAACTTATGAGTAAATTCTCCTCCTAATTCTGTCTTCCGTTTATCTAAATTAGGCAGGACATGTGAATTACAAGACAGAAAATTTTGTTTTCATCTAGGACTCAAGATCTTTAGATACAGCCTGACTTTCCTACTTCTGAACCATCACATTGGGATAAAATCCCATTCATTTACATGGGCTCTGAAAGAATTCAGTAACATGCTTTTCTACTTACAGACCATGAAATGAAGACTTCATTCAAATATACACCATTTACATATAAAAACTCACTAGTGTTGCTTAAGGAAAAATAGTAGAATAAGCCTGTTTTGTAAATGGTAAAGTATGTAACCATTTTTTAGAGTGCAATATGTTACGTAAATAATTCATACACCCAAAGTATTTGTTGCTATGAAATCCCATACTACTATTAATCTTTAGAGACATCTGTAAAAATCATCCTAAATTCTAAATGATGATTACTCAAGTATAGCTGAGCATTCCCCCCCCCCACTTTATCCAGTTTGGGTAGAAACATTTAGTGCTACAAAGCTAGGATATTAATTTGCTGACAGTCTTAGTCTAAATTCTGCTGTCTCCTCACCTATCAAGAATGAATTACACTACAGATCTCTGTAAATGCAATACAGCAGAAAACCACATGTTAGCCATCAGGGTTGCATTTTTTGTTCTGGGCCACAGAGAGGCTACCCATCAGTGCATAAAGGTCTGCCCACCTGGCCTTTTGGATCATAGTTCAGGCACACAATTAATTCATTATGAGGTAAGTCACTGCTTGCTTTTGAACTCATCTTTCCAGATCTGGAGGTGAATGTCCTGTCACTGACCTGAAGAAATACCTCTACCCTTTTAAACTCCATTAAATCACATTTCCTTCTGTTTTGTTTTGCTTTTCTTCTTCTTTTTTTTAATGACAAGGGTGAAAGAAAAGGTTTGCAGTGAGAGAATATGTTCAACAATAGCTGAAAAGCTAGAGCACCTAAACAGATGATTTGTGGCAAGTTATGGCTTTAGATATACAAAACAGATTAAAACAGCATAAGCAAAATCTTTTAATTTACATTCTTCACCAATGCATACTTCTTGGTTGTTCCAATATGTTGTACTAAATACTATATGCAGATATATATGTATTCACAATGAAGGAATATACATATCTTCTTCTTTAGTAACTATTGAATGTTTCCCCCTCCTTCCCTCCTAAAGGTAATCATCATGCTAAATTTTGTGTTCATCACTCTCTTGCCTTTTAAAAATATTACTACACATTATCAAACAAAGTATTGTATTACTGTTTGTGAACCTAATAAAATGCTCCTATGTTGTAAGTGGTCTTCGGAAACACTGCAATGACAATGCATTTCTGATAATCATACATGCTGCTGAATGTAGCACTGTGTATTGTTTTCATTTTTCAGTGGCACAAAATCCATCCAGGGACTGATTAGAATGCAGATCCTTTGGTGCTTTCGTAATTACTAAGAATCCCATTCTTCATACTGAGAGATAATAACCTAAAGATTTTTGGGAAAAAAATTGTAATCAAATTGTTCTTTTCCTGCACATTTACTAAAGAATTGCAGAGAATAGACCAATATCCAGGTATAACTACACTAACATGCTATCCACAACTAATGTCCAAAAATTCCACTTACATCTCTGGTCACGAATATAAACAAAGTATTTATTCCATCTGCTATCTTGTTTTTGAAAGCATAATGGAAAACAGAAAGAGGAATGACAGGATAGTAAGAAGTAAGAAATAGATGCGGGACCTGAAGACCATGTAGAGGCCAGAATTACTATTCTTTAAATAGCTGAAAATGGTCATAAATGACAGCATCTAGATATTTGGCCCATGTTCCTTGGAAATTTATTTGAGGAAATTTTTTGAAATCTAGAAAGACGGCATATTCCTCCAGGGTGGGGTTTCTTTGCTTTGCACACACTCACAGCATGGGGAGTACAAAAGTGGGCCACGTTAAGTCAACAGCTTGAGGTTACGTCATTTGGGCTACAGATCTACATGAGGACTAGCTTGTGGTTTCAACTTTGAGGGAGAGGACCTGCCCTCTTCTCTGCTCCACATCAGACAGCCAGGGGCAGGGAGTTGGGGGGACAGAGCAGTCAGAGGGGCAGTCAACTCACCAATGTAGCATAGATATGGGCCTCTGGGATGTCAGCTTAGTGTCTGGAGGGTCTCCTATAAGATTATCCTCCTTGGTCAGTACTAGGCTTTATCTTCTATCTCTTGAGTTTCTGAGGTCTTGAAAACCAAAGCTCAAAACTCGAGTGTGCAAATGTGCTTACAGTAAAACTGATTTTACTGGCTTCAGTCCTTTGCTCATCAGAGATAACTTCTGGATTTATACCCTCACTTATATTTTGACCTAATAATTTCATAACTGATAATTTATTATATATATGCATGTTTATGTTTGTGTGTATAAAATATATGAAATTACAGAGCAACAGATATACAGTCAAAATAACCATTTAAAATCAACTGAGTTCCCTCAAGAGACAGTGAAGTGAGCTCCCTATAAGCAGAAGTGTTCTAATAGAAGCTGGATAATCACATGGCAGAAAAGCTATGGAGATGATCCAAGAATAAGAGATTTGACTAGTCCCTTTCTGTCTCAAGGTACCATGACTCTATAAAATATAAAGAAAGAAGCATGTTGTATATCAGAAGATAACACACCAGCTCACCTTGCATAGAGCAATGCACAGTGAAGAAGGCATAATGACAGGAAAAAAATTAAGGCTTTTAGTCAATTGTTGATGACTTCAAATCAGCTGATTTCATGAGTGTCTATTTTCAGACTCTTGCCTTTGATAGTCTAATACATCGGAAAATTCTTGCTGATTTTCGTATTAACGTTCCTCTTAATCTTGTATCATTGGTTACACTAAATCATGTTACTTTAAACTAGTATCCTTTAATATGTGATTCTTCAAGCACAGAGTTCATATCTGGTCATAGAGTTTATATCCCTATTGTGAGGCAAAATGGCAGGAATATAGCAGGTACTCAATAAAGGTTTGCTCAGTGAGGCTTTACACCCTTTAACTATAATACTGCAATTATTTTTCATCACTTTTTAGTTCAACTGGATAAAATCCACCTCACTAGGTTCTTCTGAGAGTCCTGGATGAGTTGTATTTACTTACTGATGTGTCTACTCTTATTGGCATAACCAGTAACCAAACAGAATGACTAGTAAGTTACACAATTGTTAGGCAGTGTACACTGAGGATCACTAACAATGTTTGAGGATTACATTTCAATATTCTTCAAGCCTGGATTGCCTTCCAAATATCTTTGGTTGTCTGATTTATAAATAAGATAAAGTTTACTCAATTCTAACATGAGAAAAAAAGCTGTAAGAAAAAAACTGATATTTATATCAGCTAATAAATATCAGCTAATAAATATCTTTTCATATAGGCTTATAATATATACATTGATAAATATCAATTTTTTTCAACTGGTTTACAATATGTGGAATTGAGTAAACTTCAATTCATAAATATCATTTGGATATTAAAGGTCAACTCAGAAATACCACTTTGAATTAAGCAGCTAATCAGATATTCCATTTTAAAAAGAAATAATAAGGGTCTTACCTCAGCATGAGGGTTAGGGGGCAAAACCGAAGTCTCATTTTCAGTAACACTTCCAGTCGGTCCATTGTTTGGTGAACTGGGACCAGAGCCTGGAGAACTGCTACTGACTGAGGATTCTGAAAAATATTATGAAGTACAAATGTGTTCATGAGGAACATATACAGATGAACTTTAGTTACTGTAACATGTAACTGGGCATGTTATTTTCCCCCTACATAAATGCAAGCAGTATTTCATGAAATAGAAAAGAACTAAAAATGTCTGAAATAGTTCTCAATTTTCATACCACTTATTCCCCCTTTGTTTTTTATGGCAAAACATACAACACAGTATTTCAACAGTTTCTAGAGAAGTAAAGATATCCAATTAGAGAGGGTCACAGAAGCTTTGGGTGAGTAAAAATATAACTAAAGAAGGGAATCTTTTTCTTACTTGCCTTTGTGCTATTATTGAAAATAACAGTAATGAAGATAATGAACTTGCTTACATCACAAAACAGATTGTTAACTCATGAGGTCCAGGCCCACTCCTGTTAGGTTTGAAAAAAATTGCTCAAATGCTGTGCTGTAAATTGTTTTTTATTTAATATATTAAGGCTATACCTTAGACTCATCGTGTATATGAGTCAAAGTTATATGAAGAAAATACAATAAAGTAGAACCTCAACATTGCACCGATGGCCTTGTACAACGCCATCAGACTTTGACTCTACCTATTTTCTAGAAGATGAGAAGTTGTGTAAATTTAACATGTAGACTTTTAAATACCAATATAACAAGAAATTCATTTTAGCAAAAGTTAGGCAACAACAAGACACATTCCTTATGTAACTCATCCTTTCCTCTTCGGATATGAAACTCACATGTACCTCAACTTATGCAGAAACTAATGCATTTATTGAAACATTTAATCAAACATATAAATTTCTGTTTCCTAGAACTATAACTAGAGAAGTCATCTTATCAAGCCTGCGCAAATTATTTATTCAGCTCTAATTAATTCCTTACCACCTTTTATAGTTCACTCATTTCAAAATTTTCCTAGTTGCCTCATCATTACATCTTGTCAGCCGAACTCTGCACAAATGATCTTGCCTCGTGCTTTTCAGAGATGGGACTTTTGATATTATTTCCACCAGCATCTTTTTGTTCTCCTCATGATTATGTCATCTGCATTCGCTTTTCCCACTTCAAATGCAAGGCATTTCTCTTCCTCTCTTCTCTCCAGTGCTCACATATTTAATCTTACCCATGATCCCATCCCCTTAAACAAAATCCTGAAAGGATTTGTTCCATCAGTTAGGTGGAATCTTCAGGCCCTCCTCCTACACTGGAATTTCCCCTCTAGTCTGTCAGCATGCTAGTAATTCTTGAGAAGTGGCATGCTCTCACCATGTCCACTCACTTCTTCAAGCCCTGGCAACATAGCTTACCCACTATAACTGCAACTGTTCTCTCATATGCCATCACACTTGAAGGACTTTGAGAAAACATTCATCTCCGTATCTTTTGTACGGTGGCATTCTCTATGTCCATGTTTGTCTTTCCATCTCTTTGTTCTTCCTCCTACCAATTCCTAAATTAAGGCATTCACCTAAGTTTGTGGCTTTTTCCCTTTTCTATTTCCCTTGTCAAAGTCACTCAGTATCATGACTTCATATGTCAAGAATTATCTCCTAAGAGATATTTCTTGCCTTTAACTCATGAATTCCAGCCCGAATTCTTCTGAAATAGTAGACATTTCTATCTCCCCTACATATGTGTCAAAGTCAATATATGTATTTTAATATTAGCTGTCTCCTGCTTATCTCTATTTTATCATCACCCTACTGTCATCCTCACTCTCTCTTTACTACAAATCTAATTAGTTACTAGGTCCTTTTAATGTGATCTTTATACTATCTCTCATTTGAGTCTGACTACAATCATTTCAGTTTAAGGTGCTGTTATACTATCATGAACTATAGCAAAAGTCTCCTTAATATTGCTGAATCACTACAGTAGTCTCTCAAAACTTTCTTTCAAACTCTTGCAAAAGGATCATACAGAGATAACTTACACCATGTCCCTCTGCTCCAAAATGGAGCCTAATATAATTTTCCACCATTGCCCTTTTTGTACTCTACATTCAATCAAATTAAATCATCTATTCTACTTTAATGCCAAGTACTTTTCCATTTCATGCTATTTTTTATCCTCTTTCCTTCTATTTTATTGCAGGCCAAATCTCACCTATAAGGTCAAAGCCTGCCTCATATAACATATGTCCCTCAGAGAACGGGAACTCCCAGTGTCCAGGCAAGATTTTCTTGCCCTCTCTCAGAACACCTATAACTTTCAACTTATATCATAATTATGTATCTACTCAGAAATGCAGTGCCACTGGAAAGGATGTAAGAATTCTAATCTGCCACTTACTTACTCTTGGACGTAAGCAAATTAGTATCATAAAAAACTTAAACACATTTTTCTCACTGCCTTTCTGTCTATTTATTTATCTTGCTGACATTTTGATTAATCTGTTTCGTTTAGCATCACCACTTAGTTTCCTTTAACAAAAAAAAAAAATGTAAATTTTAAACATTTTTATAGGAGCTTCTTTTTCCCAACTCCTAACTCTTGCCTTACAATATGACTGATTTCTTGTTAATGTCTCATTTCCATATCATTTCCATTTCCATATTTTTAAAAAACTACTTTCTTAAACACTCTTACCAATTTTAAATTATATTATTTATATTATTTCACGATATTCATACTGAAGTATTTCCTTATGTAGAAATTACTGTGATAAGCACTAGAATTCAAGGCAGCAACTATTATACCAGAGGATTTTATGGCATCAAACTGGATGGGATCTGGTAGAACATAGCAACTGATTTTCTGAGATCTCTGAGGTCAGTGTAGTGATACCGTAACTGGAGCTTGAAGAAGGGTAGCTAATGAAATAAGGATGCTGGAGTGCGTAGAATGAAAAGAAGGCATTGCAGACACAGGGAGAGTCAATTTTAACATTTGAAAAGAATGGAACTTTTTGTAGGGGGTAGAAAATACTTGATTTTGAAAAAAAGATGGCAAGTGGGTTCTTATGTCAATAATGTGGAATGAGTTTAAAAGCAGCTTACACTTTATGAAACGGGGAAGAGAAAATCATATAGAGGTAAGAGAATAACAGCAACACCAACTAAACTGCTATGATGCTATGATAGTCTCTGACTAGACACTAAACATATTTAGTATTAAGATCCAAACAGATGCCATCCAAATTAGATGAAAGTTGGCAGAGCAATGGGAAGGAGTACAGGTGAAGACAGCTGTGTGCCTGTAGTCCAGAGCATCCAAAGAAATTTAAATTAATTGCAGCATACCAGTTATAAATATCTAACAAAGCATCCACAAGTCCCAGCTCACTGACCAGAAATGTCCATCTAATAAATGTACAAGTCTCTTTTCCAATATATATTGTTTCCTGAGATGAAAGGGTGATTCCTTATCTCACAAAATTAAGAAGATCATGCCACTGCACTCCAGCCTGGGCAACAGAACAAGACACAATCTCAAAAAAAAAAAAAAAAAAAAAAAATTAAGAAGAGAAATATATTTTAAATTAAGGAAATTTGAGTAAAACTCTGGCAACTCACAATCCTTATAAATAACAGTCAATCATTACTGAGATAGGTATTGAGCTAAATGCCATTGCAATCTGGTATGTAAGAAAAAGCGACTGTATAGAACAAGTTATAATCAAGAAAACAATACAGTAAAACAGAAAAGCACAATGGGATAAATACGACTTTAGACATTTCGATTATGAAGCAAAATAATATAGCATTATATTCAACTTTTTCTTTTCTAGAAGTTTTTCTGTTATGGGGGGGCCTACTTTTTGCAGTAGAAAACCACCTAAATTTACATTAGACACCTGATAGGTTTATAATTCTTTACATCCATTAAAACAAATTCATTCCCCACTGCCCACCCCCACCAAAGACCTCTATTAGAAAAACTTACGATTTTTACTTAATGTTGGAAATTACATATAACTCTGGTAAAATAATTGTACTTATTATTCATTTCTTTAATATTTCTTATCCCAAGGAAATATCTCCCATTGAAATCACTAATACTTTTCTTCAGATAAGCATATAAAGGTGTCCCGATTAAGAGACTAAATATTTTTTCCCAAAATTATCTGTCAGACTTTTAAGTTGCATTAGTAGCTAATACATGTTTCTACCTCCACTTTCACAGTCTTCCTTCATATTGCCTTCTTGTAGACACTGTCATGGCCAAAAGAAATATATAAAAAATGAAGAATTTTTTAAAAACTTACTAAAAATAAGATCTGATCACGGAGAACTAATACCAACTGCCCACATTGAGAAAAGCACAATTTTCCTTGAGAATGAAAAAAAAAAGTGGTTGCAGATTACCACTTCTTTCTTCATGTAACCAAAGGAAACAACTAGACACAATGCATGGCTCTAAGTAGGCACTCAAAAAGTGGTAAATAGGAGGATTTTGGATAGTATTTTTGGTTCTTACAGTCTTAGGTCTTTCATTTCAAACCAGGTACAAGTGGAACTCAGGGTGTTGTAAGACCTCAGGTTGAATTTCCTAACCCCTCTACTAAAACAGGCAGCTAAAAAAATAACTCTTCCATTTGAGACCCGTGAAAATGACAGTTTCTTCCCCTTCATAAAAAGCAACATATCCCCCTCCTGCCGTAAGTCCCACTTCACTAGTAAACACGTAAAGTCATTTATGAGTTCTGTAAATTTGTTGAAAAGTCAAGGTTTTGCTGTTCCATGCAGTTTAATTTTCCCAGATGTATTTTGTACGTTCATGTCTCAGTACAAGGGAAAATGTTCTTCTTCGACCTCCCTCTGCTCATTTCTGATCAAATTTCATTAAAAATTATACTCTCTGAGTTGGCATTCCCAAAATGGACTGCCTGTTTCTGAAAAAAATAAGGTGAGCTTTGGTGTTCCCTAGTTATGCCTTGATTGACACATAGTTCTGTTTTTTTCATTCATTTCCTGTTTAACAAAGTTGGTGAATGCATAGCAAAGTTTATTGAACTACTTGTGAGTTTTCAATATAATTCCCTTTCAAGAAATATTTCTCCTCAAAATAACTTTTAATATGCAGCAGGTATATTTATTCTAAACTATTTTTTTCATTCCTACTCCCAGCATTCATATGTCTGCCCAATCCTCAATTACCTGTCACCTCAAACATTCGCTTCTTGAATGAAGTGACAACATTTCCATCCTTCCGCCTGAGTAAGGGGCTGCTTCTCCTCTCTGCCACTTTCTGTTTTAACCTGGACCGCACCTTCAAGTTGGGCTCAGAGGCTGGGGATTGAGACAAAAAAAAATAGATGAAAATTAAAAAAAATAGAGAGCCAATTGCTCCTGTGTTAAAAAAAAAAAAACAAAAAAGTCTCACCCATTTGTTGGTCCATTCTCATCTCAAATGAAAAAACCAAACACATAAATGAGGCATTGACTCTACATTAATGAAACAGGCAAATACTGCAATTATTTTTATGAAATGTGTAAAAGTTTTTCAACTTCTCTAAAGTAAAAAGTAAACAAAAATGTAAGTTTTCTATGTATTTTATCTAGCAGAATTGGGATTGTTAATGGAAAGTTTAATTGCTAATTATGTTTGGGTCACAGTAAGATTTATTATAGTTCATTGTCAGGCCTCTTAATTCTCTCAAGGGTGAAACTTAATAACTACTAAAACAGTAACTTAATGTTATTTTAGAGACTCTGACCTGGCTTGTGGTAATAAGAAGACACTTCAGCAGCACATAATTTATGTATAATTCTGACTCCTGGAATATTTCTTTGTCAGTAGTTTCTAACCTTAAACCATGGGAAAACATACTCAGTGTAATGACACCAAACCAACTAGAATCAGTGCAAATAAGACATTCTATACATTCAGTATACTATTAGCTAGAAGGAAAAGGTGGCTAAGTCTTCAAATTGAAGGTTCTGAGTTAGGGTTAATATTCCATAATACAAATGCAGGTCATTCACATGTATGTTACCATTTCTTTGTTATTCTAAACAGAGAAGCTTATTATAGAGCTTCACTATTTTTAAAATAATGCCACTTATTTTAAAATAATACTCTAGAACAGGGTTCCCCAAACTACGGCCCACGGGCCACATGCGGCCCCCTGAGGCCATTTATCTGGCCCCCGCCGCACTTCAGGAAGGGGCACCTCTTTCATTGGTGGTCAGTGAGAGGAGCACAGGATGTGGCGGCGCCGCAAAGCACAGCATCGCTCACATACAGTACTACTTCCGGTGACGCGGGATGCAGGCGTCACGGCTCCGGAAGCACGTCATATGATGCACATCCGGTCTGCGGCTGCGGAGCCCCACATCACCGGAAGCAGTGTGAAACAACAGCAGAAGTAGGAAGAAAGGCAAAGCACTATAACCATTACTACACAGTACAATGGTCCCCATACTCCCCCAAAATGTACAACAACATAATGGCCCCTATAACCTCCCTTTGCCCAAAGTCTCCCCCCACATTACTACACACCATGTTTCCCCTATTATAAGACCCTGTCTTATATTAATTTTACCCCCAAAAGACAGGGACTGTCTTATTTTTAGGAGGTGTCTTATAATAGGGGAAACATGCAGCAGTGAGCTTCCCACAGAAGAGGCCCACCGCTGCTGCCCACAGATGTCCAGGACACTGTATACACAGTGTCACAGGCTGATCACCGCCATCCCTGTATACAGCACTGGAGGCGGTGCTGAGCGTGTGACACTGTATACCGCTGTCTGGGATAGTGGAGGCAGCAGCACTGGCTGTGAAGGGTGTCACACCTTGCATAGTCCGGCCCTCCAATGGTCTGAGGGACAGTGAACTGGCCCCCTGTGTAAAAAGTTTGGGGACCTCTGCTTTAGAAGAATAGAAACACTGGATTGCCTCTCTGCAGCAGAAGTGGATGATAATGGTGGTGGTGATGATCATGATGGAAAGGATATTTCTGGTAACAACTAACATTTATATAGTCTTTTCTATGTTCTAGTCCTATTCTAAATGTTTATCAGTATCAACTTGTTTAACCATAAAAACATCTAGAAAGCCTGTGCCGATTTATAATTTGATTAGATCAATGAGCAAACCAGAACACAGAGACAGGTTAAGTATCTTGCCCAAGGTTACAGAGGTAAAAGGGGATGAAGCCAGCCTTTGTACCCAGGTAGTCTGGCATACATCTATTCTAAATACTGAAAATACTGCTCCTCTACCTTTCCTTATGTATGATCACCATAAAAATTATAAGATAGTTTTTCCCAAATCACCACTAATCACCTAGAGCAGATACAATGTTATAATGTAGCTAGAATTTTGTCAGTGAAAATATTTTTGAAGGAATTTACATTTTTGCCATACTATAACAGATAACAAAAGTAGAACTTAAAATTTTTCTCCACTTTTTGTTTTGGTTTTAGTCTTCAAATATCTATACTTTTTGCTTTAAACTTGGACTGAGAATCTTTGCATTATAAAATTCCTTGGAATTGGCTTGGTGAAATAGGAACTTAAAAAGTGAAGTTCAGATTCAAAAAAAAAAAAAAAGGCTAGCTACATTTTTTGTGTTATACACCTGACTTTATGCCTGAAAACACTGAAAAGATAAAAACAAATCAGAAGCCTGAAAATGCTGTAAAAGTAGGGTGTCAAAAGGTGGGGCAGAGATCAGGGCTGAGCACAAGCTCAAAGTGATAGATGTCTGAAATGTATCACTTGCTGGGCCTCCCACATGGAAGCAAACAAACAAACCAATTTTGGAAAGGATTAAGGTTCTTGCCAGACCTTCCAGTAGTGGCAACACATTTCACCTTAGTGTAGGAGTCTATCTCAGTTTCTAACCCACCACTTACCCAGGATTAAAGTGAGATACTGGGACTGTATTATCGTACTTAGATATGTTTCCATGTACACATTTATTTTTAAATACTTTTAAAAATATTCATCTTGCCTCTGAAAAGTTAGATAATAAATATACTTATCTAGAACCTAGAAAATATTTAAAAATATTGATCTTGCTTCTGAAAAGTTATAGATTACAAATATATTTATCTAGCACCTAGGAAGGAAAAATGAAGAACCATGAATCCCCAGGTGCATTGGTATCCTCTGTAGCCTTGCTAATAGCCACAGGAAATCACAGATTCTCAGAACTTAGATGGAGATACGATCTTATAGTAAAAACTGATGGATTAAATGCTGCAAATGAGCTGTCCATAGGGAGTAAATCAACTGATCACTTCAAAAGGCAGTGGTGGGTGGACCGGAAAAGGCCATGCATTTTCAGTGAGGGGATGTGAATTCAGTCTACATGGGACCACTTTCCCGCTATGAAATATGCAGTGAGATTCTAGTGCTTTTTAAGCTTGATTCTTCATTTGTGAAACCTAGCTTAATGCTTTTCCAATTAGATACCTGAGAATAACTGTGAGGATCTGGGTGAATGTGAAAGGGAAGGGTTTATGAAACATATTGTTGGTATTATTTCTGAAGTCTAGTTACACAGCTAAGAGGGGCTGATACAGAACTGGGCCCCAAATCTCCTGATTCTTGGTCTTGTCCTCCTACCTCTCCTAATATACGGCATCAGCTGGGGCTGAGTGTCTGCAGTCAAGATGAAAATGTCCTGAAAGCTTGGAAAAATAGCATATGCCATTTAAACATTCTAGATGAAAGCTAAATTTTTCCACGATTTTCAGAAAAATGATTTTTAAGGTCAGCAGATAACTTTCACTCCTGTTTGTCTACTTGAGAATCGGCCAGATATACAGCTCTCATATTTCTTTCAACGGTCAACATAAAAAAGCAAACACACACCAGAAGAGGAATGAGAACTGGATTCTAGTCTTGTATCTACCACCTACAAAAATCAGTTCATTCACACAGACCAACTATGATGATACTTTCATTGTGCCTGGAGTCAAATAGATGTGTTTAAATGCCTGATCCACACATTAGCTATTTGGCTTTGGATTAATTACTTTCTATCATTAAACCTCGATTTGTCATGTTAAAATGGGGACACTGAAGGGATTTTCTTCATTTTTTCCCAACAGATTCAATTTTCCTTTCTTCTCTGAGCCCATGGGGGCTGAATCCTGGAGGTGCATCCCTCTAGTTCTTTGCTGCATGGATTTCATTTGGGTTCAATTTAGTGGCATGACAGGCTGGTGGCCAAAGAATTAAGGAGGAGGGAGAGGCCAGGCTGTCCTACACTCTCTCTGCCACAATGCTGAATCACTGGCCATGGCTTTGTCTCTTCCTAACTTCATCTCCTTCTAGAAGACCCTATTCCATGGCCCAAGCTCTTCAGCACTTCAGGAACAAATTCTTCCCCTTTCTTCTTTGTGGGAATGGCCTCCCACTGTTGCTATTTTCTGGGTACCCCCACATCCCTAAGCAGTTCATTTAACCGTACTCACTTCCTTGTTAAGTAGTTTCTTCATAAAAGTCTATGATCCATGCTTCATCTGTTTCCTGCCAGGATCCTGATTAATATAGTCCTATGTATTTTGCAGTTACTATAAGATCAAATGAAATAATGTCTAGTAGAGAACAGACCAGTGGTTCATAACCAGGGAAGATTTTTCCACCAGGGGAAATATTTGGCAATATCTGGAGACATTTTTGGTTATCAGTATGGGGAGTTGCTACAGGCATCTGCTATGGGTACAGGCCAGGGATACTGCCAAACATCCTACAAAGCACAGGATAGCGTCCCATGACAAAGTATTATCTGTACACAAATGTTAATAGTGCTAAGTATGAGAAACCCTGGGACAGGTAATCAGTCAACGGCAGCTGTTAATAATTGTACTGCTCTGCCAGAAATTCCCAAAGAAGCTGGAGAAGGGTAAGGGAAGAAAAGAGAGATTATTAGAAATGGAGAGTGCTACAGGTAGCTTGAATATATTAAATATTTCAATAAATTTTATACTTGGAAGTTGATTTTAAAATGTTTATAATACCACTAAGATTTCTAAAAATAGTATCTTTAATAAAAGGTAACTTTTATTATTAGTTTGTAGAGATATGCATAAAGGCATAATTCTCAGTTTTAGAAAGGATAACATTTGAGGCATTGTGATTATATGAGGACATGAGGTTTTGAAAATAAGGAATCTCTGACATACTGTAAAGCGCAACATAGATTTACGTTCACAGAATATACAATATACTACTTCCCTAAAGAAAGGCCCCTATGTAATGTTTCTAACAAAAGCTTCTGCCTGTATTTCTGGTTTTGGGTCATGAGAGATATTAATATCTCAGTAGTGAGGGT